AATTTATCATATATGTCAAGCTATTTGTCATATCGTCCCTGTCTATATATTTATATAATATTGTTTAATTAGTGGTTACTGTATAAACCGTATTTTTCGCGTACAGGTATTTTCAGCGAATTCAGACTTGACGGACAATTTCTAGCGAGTGGCTATTTTCGCGGTCGCGTGAATTATGTATGATTCTGTCATTTTCGTTGGATGATTCGCGTGTTGTTATTTTCGCGCGTCGGGCGGACGCTCAATTGTTCGCGAATTCGCGAAATTAACCACCGCGAATAATACAGAATAAAAGATATCACGTCTGCTCTTCTGCGGCACACGGTATCAAAGTGATCGCTACAGACGCGGCAAACAGAAAGTCTGCGGCCACGGACAACATACACTTCGTGCGAAATCCAGTTTAGCTAACAGCAGGTCTTAAGTCGAGCATTAAGCCGTGTTTATTGTCGCGGGTGTTGATAAGGTGGCGATGTCATATCGCTGCCACTGTTTGCACGACGCATGTAAACACTCGCACAGGTAGACCTCCTCGCGCATTTCTGTCATACAGCCAGGAGCTTATTACAGATAGCCGCGCGGCGCAGCAAAATAAAAAAATTTAAAGATCGAACGACGGCTCTCTAACGGGTAAAACGATTTCGTTGGGCAAAGCACCATTTTTTTACCCGTTTAATTTCCCTAGCAACCAATCCTATGCACTGTATTAAGTATTAGCTGTAATGCCGGCTATGAGTGTGGCAATTACGTATCACCTGTGATACTCACACCCTGTGATAGTATACCCTGTGACTACGAAACCGTCTTGTGAAATACGTATACACCTGTGAATACGTCCACTGTGATAGTTTCTTCACACGCACACGCACACGCACATGCACACATACACACGCACACGCACACATACACACACACACACAAACACGTGCGCGCACACACAAGCACACGCACACGCACACGCACACGCACACACACGCACACACGCACACACATCACATATTATAACTAGACAGAGGGCACTCACGGAGAGTGCATACCTCCGCGAGCATGTAACATGTATGTGCTGACTGACTCGCCTGCTGCTGACTCGCCGCTCACTGGTGGCTGCTGCTGACTCGCCACTCGCTGACTCGATGCGCTATCGATCGCGCGGTGGCTACACACACACACGCGAGCGATTGCATGACCTCCGTTTGCGCGGAGGTAAATATATATATATATCCGTATGTACAATACGTATATCGGTGGACGTGAGACGTCGCCGCGGCAACGGATTCGTCAGTGTTGCTGCCGCGGACGGACGCACAATAATTATCGCTCACCTGCGGGGCTGACGTGCTTGAAGGAAGCTGCGGCTGGAAGCCCCGTCGCTCGTTTCAGCTCCTTCACCAGCTGCCATGCGTTGAGCGCGTCGCACAGGTTCACGAACCCCGGCGCGCCGTTACGCACTGAAACAGGACAACGTCTTCGTTGGTGATGTAATCCAGTCGGGCGGTGTTCAACGGAGAAATAGAAGAGGTAAACCAGGGATGTGGTGTTCAATGGGAAAATAGAGAAGGTAAACCAGGGCAGTACTTAACAGGCAGAGAAGTAAACCAGCACGATACTACACAAGAAAGAAATGGAGAAGGCAACCCAGGGCCGTGCTGCTCCTCATGAGAGAAACAGCAAAGATAATACATGGCGGTGCAGAAATTAAAAACGATATGTGCACCGAAGGGACGTAACAACAAGTTGGGTTAAACACGGGCAGTGTGTTGTTACCTCTGCCCAACGGAGTTGGAGGGGAGGTTATGTGATCGGTCTCGTGCGTTCGTGTGTCAGTGTGTTCGTGTAGCCAGCAGCAGGCCAGTCAGTGTTAGTGTGTTAGTGTGTTGGCGCGATCGATATTAGCGCGTCGAATCAAGCGTGTACATGTGAGCGAGCAGCAGCAACGAGCGGCTGCTACGAGCGAGTGGCAGCAAGACAGCGAGCGTGTACATGTGAGCGAGCAGCAGCAACGAGCGGCTGCTACGAGCTATGTCTCTGGCAGAGGTATGCACTCTCCGTGAGTGCCCTCTGTCTAGTTTAATCTGTGCCAGCGTCCGTGAATTTCTTTCAATTCTGATCAACCCGATTTGAACCCGATGCACGCGCAATAAATGAAGTGAGTGACAAACGTTTTTGAGATGATTACATTAACGTTTGCATCTTATCTTTGACATGTATTTATATAAGAATTTCACCACCAAAATATTTAATTGCAGTTAATTATTAGCTAATGATAAATTATCGTGTCGTAGTAGCTTACAAAAGATCCTAACCTAAACATAATCGCAGATTCAATCTAAAACAAATAACAAACTCACTCTTCCAAGTATTAGGTGAATTTTAAACTTAAGCACTGTACTTGTGTAATGGGTATAACTATACTAAAGGCAACGTTACTATAAAAGTTCAATTAACATCACCGTACAAGATTGTTCACCAGACTATTATTGCATCAATTATATAATGATAAATATATATGTCAGGAAATGATTCCCTGTTTATAATATGCAATATTAATATATATACAATTAACATTCATTAAAAGGTTTTATATCATGTCTATATGGTCTTTCTCCTGTTTATATCCCAATGCATAACGTCAAGCATGTATCAATAGTCACATATTATAGCATGGATACATAATCAGGCCATACAAGTACATGCATTGTATAGCCAGATGAAGAGAGATACTCTCGAAAGCTTGCTGAGTAAAATTTGACACCTCATTCTTATTTGCTATATTTATTTTCTTTGTCAGCGCTAATACTCTGTGTTTGATGCGGCGTCGTGCAGAGGTAACACCAATGATCAAACACAACTCGATGAATGAAGTTTTCCACGCATATTAATTTTATTGCCAGCCACAGTACATCGTGAGCAGAGTCCAGAAAAGGGTGTTAACACAATATATGTTTCTTCCGTTCGTCCGTCCGTACATCTGTCAGTCTCTGAGTCCGTCAGTCATTTCTTTCAACCTCGTCGATATGCGTGCGTACACAGAGAGAGAACGACAACAACCAACGACCAACCCTTTCCTCTTCGAGTGCTGTCGTATATATACAACTGCTAGGTGACGTCATCTTATCCTCTGCACGTGCACGACCATTCGGTTTGCACGTGTATGGCTCTCACCAGTGTCGGGTTAACCATGTAATTTTGAAATGGAACTTTACAATCACGTTCTACTCACGTGTAGATTTCTTGCGTACTTCCTTTATTCTAAGAACTCCTACCCCGGCGTTCTTCCCCCACAGGTCCGGCTCTGCGTCTCTACGCAGTTAGAATTTAACAAACATCCGGGATGTTATCCGGGGTGTTGGCTCATTATACTTTACCAATGATAGTTTCTGTAATTACCTACTCTACATATTAACGGAGCTTTGTTGCACCAGGAGAACACATGGCACTCAGCGAACAAAACGGTAGTGGACGGCTATATTTGAGCCACACTCACCGACAGAATATAAAACCGGCACGGTGCCACCATTACATTAATTTTTTGTTTGTGGTAACCAAATCCAATATTAAATTAGCTTTTAATTGTACGGTGTAACGACCGACAATACGCGTTGGGCATTGCAAGCGTTTCAGACCGGATCGAGAAAAACCACGATTGCGTGACAGAAAAAGCGTGAATGGGCCTGCGTAACTCGACAGTAAGACGCGTATAATCTATGCTACAACACAGACGAATATGTACAATAACACAACATGCAACCGTGTGTGGAGTTATATCTCTACGATCTACACACACCACCACCACCACCGCACGCTCCACCCACGCACCACCACACGCACAACGCACACGCACACACACACGCACACGCCCACACGCACACGCACACGCACACGCACATACACATCACACACACACACACACACACACACACAACACACACATACACACATACACATGCACACACATACCAACACGCACGCACATACACACACACACTCCACACGCAGCACACACACACACACACACGCACGCACGCACACAGCCACACACACACACACACACACAACACACACACACACACACAACCACACACACGCCACACACACACACACACACACACACACAACGCACACACAGACCACACACGCACATACACACACACACACACACACCACACCACACACACCGCACATGCCACCCGCACACGCCACACGCACAAGCACAACACACACACACACTCACACACACACACACACGCACACACACGCACAATACACACACACACGCACAACACAGACTCACACATACACACGCACACCATACACCACACACACACACACACCACACACACGCAACACAACCACACACACACACTGCACATACACAGACACAGACACACATGCACACGCACACAGCCACACACCGCACATACACAGACACGCACATACACAGACACACACACACGTGCGCACACACACACACACGCACATACACATACACAGACACACACAGTCACACACACACACACACACGCACATACACAGAGACACACACACACACACACACATACACACACGCACATACACAGACACACACATCACACACACACATCGCATCTGTGCGCTACAATGTCTCAAACACTACAGTCATTTATCTCGCGCACTCGTCACACAAACTCAACTCAGTTCATTTAAATTCAATTAACTTTATTTACACTTATGAATTACATTTTGAGTTAAACATATAGTTAAGCAAGTAAATAGACAATGCTAATAAAATTGAAAACAAATGAAACTAAATAAATAGAAGCGTCGGAGGGCGAAACGACAGAAGAAGCCTACCTGGTATAGTCGGCAGGGTCACAGACCACCGTGACGCGAATGTGGTTCTTCGCCCCCGCCCTAAGCAGCGTCACGCCCCCGATGTCAATGTCCTCGACGGGCCTCGCAACGGTAAACCGATGACGACGAGACAGTCTTCACGAACGGATACAGGTTGCAGACGACCAGCCTTCGTAGCCATCGACGAAAGGTCAACAGGGTTCGACGAGAGGTCAACAGAGTTTGAGGACAGCTGGTCAACAGAGTTTGACGAGAGATCAACAGATTGACGACGAGGTCAACAAGTTTGACGAGAGGTCAACAGAGTTTGATAGGGGTCAACAGAGTTTGAAGAGATCATCGGCCATTCAGATGTCGGAAATGTTAGTCGCGCAGACCGAGTACAGTTTGTATCTATACATATTCTACTATATAGATTATTAGATTAATTATATATATTTACATACATATATAATACGCTGCGTAATTTCATACACATTTGCGTAAATATATTAAGGTATCTAGACAACATATGAAGGCGATAATTCGCGTATAATTTGAACATTATTGATAATCTATACAGTTCAAATTTGACAATAGTAAATACCTGATGAGTTTGTTGATAGTTTTGCTTCTCCATGTCAGTCTTATCAGCATCTGTGTTCCTGGCTAAAAATTCCTATAACGAGCAAAAATATACATGCATAAGGTAATTCAAATATTTATGTAATGAAATTATTCAAAATTATTTCAATTTAATTCAATATTTGTAAAGAAACATATCGGCTAATTATAAAAGTAATTTTCGTGATACAAGTTACCACTTTGCATTGTGTCACATTTAATTAAGGGTATACCCCACAATACCAATGTTTTTGCATCATATAAATACTGTATGTGCTACAACTACAACATTAGTGCTGCAAGACATGCGGTCTACCCAATGTAGGGCTGCGATATGTATGTAAAATTCTGCAATAGTTATACAGGATTCTTACCAGCATGCACAGCGGGATGCAAGGTCTTCACACGCCCTCCCAACATTTCTGCGGCGCGCCCAGTAATTTCTTCTACATTCTGCAAAAACATAAATGTCAAAAAATGACATTATACGAGAGATAAAGATTCTTAGATCATTTGCTTGCGATAGCAGCCCTGATGAATCACATGACATAATTGAATTAATAGTGCTCGTTCGATTTGCTTTCCCAAGTTTTACCTGGGTCTACTCGGGCCAGCCCAAATACGTTCGATTTGGCAGTTCACTTGGTATTTTCGTTACCCGGGTGAGCCGAGTAACCGCTAGCCGAGCCGCTCACTTGGTGAAGTATCCCACAATTACTTGCAGTTCGTCTGCCATCTTCATGCTGGCTTAACTCAGTAACAAAACAGGTTGAATGTTTCCCTCTCCAGGCAAAATGTGGATTTAAAATCATAGGTGAATAGCTCTGAACGGTGACCTCAACATGATTGTCGCATCCGAGAACCTTGTCTCGTTTGCTATGCCTATGCCTATGGCTATGGCTCTCTTCAAGCAGTAATGCAGCTTAACTTGTCGAGACTGCGTGTGTTTGCTCAGTTTTTAGATTTCATTAATAATAGATTGCAATTGCTATTCTTTTTTTCTTGTCACTGGCATCCATGATTATAACTAGAAAGGGGCATTTGTCGCCAAATACACGTATCCCCGTGTTCTCCCCAAGATGTTGTAAGTATAGAAAGCATCGGTCGCGCTAGGTCAATTAGGGGCCGATTATAGAGCATAAAGCGGAAATATGCATGTTAAGGTTAAGGTCAAGCGTCCAATCGTTAAATAAATGGTTGCAGTAAACTCGGTGTCGGTACGCACCACACCTTCTCCCCAGATGTGGTAAGTATACCAAGTCTTGGTCGTGCTAGGTCAATTAAGGGGGCGAGTTATAAGCGGAAGGCGAAATTATGATCAAGGTCAAGGCAAGCGTCAAATAAAAAGCTGCAAGTGACCTGTTTTGGTACGCGACACACATTTCTCCCCAAGATGTGTAAGTACTACCACACGCCTCTTCGGTAGCGAGCTAAGTTAATTAGGGCCACAGTATTAAGAGCGGAGGACTGTCAAGGTAAAGGTAAGGTCAACATAAAAGGTCGTAGTGACCTGGTTTTGGTACGCGACAGCACCTTTCTCCCAAGATGGTTATAGTATACCAAGTTTCCGTAGCGCC